ACATCGGAAACGACTTCATTCCTTAAGTATTATTAACAGGTATTGCTTTATATAAATTTAATTATATGCGGTTTGAACTGTGCTTTCGAAAAAAATAAAATATACTTATAAGGTTATTTGTATAAAATGAAAAAAAAATGAAGTCAAAAAATGATTTTAATTAAGTAATGGTGTTCCCTTTTTAAGGTTTTTTAATTATTACTTAATTTTCTTTTGATAGTTTTTTTTTCTTTTTTTAAAATAGTAGATGTAATTTATACCTAGGAAATAAAAAACTGCATTAAAGGTAAAAACACATTTTAGAGATAAAACAACGTGCATCAATTTATATCCATAATAAAATAGGAAAACCTTAAAAAAAACTTTTTTTTACATTTGATATAGTTTTTAAAAATAAAACAAATTGTTGCTTTGTAAGTTATAAATTTATTGATAATAGTCGTTTCATCAAACAAAAGGATAACACAAAAAGAAGATTACTAAAATAAATCACATCATTGTATATATATATATATATACGTAAAAGCATCTTTTCTTGTCACAAATAATTCAAAAAAAATTTTTTAACGAGTATGACTACGAGAAATCAAAGTTAAAAATTATTTTATTTTTTATTCGCTTAGTTACTTTATGTTATGTTTGGTTACGTCATTTTCCTACTTGTTTTTGCAGGTAATTTTATCGATTAATATTGAGTTTCACCTTCTTAGTTTCACCTTTTTAAGGGGTGGTTTAACTACGCGACGATTTTTGCTTAGAGTAGTGGTATGAAATACCAAATATAAATACCATTACAACGATGCTCCATTTAAATTTATATTAATCAATGTTGCATAAACGTTTTTTTTTTATTTAAAAATTGTAAACTGAAAGAAAAAGCGAAAGAGGTTAAAAGTTAAACTTTTTCTTTATTCTTTTTTTTTAACAAAGCAGTCAGATTTTTTTAAAAACGTTGCACCATGGTTTCTGAGATCCGATTATTTGACACAAATTAACAGCTTCAATTTAAAACAAATTAACTA